TATTTCGCCATATAAAACAGTAGGAATATTTTATTGACGAATAAAAGAGCATCTATCTCTTAATTTAGCACTAAGAACTACAAATTCATGTATAAAATACTTACAAATGATTATTCACAATACCGTATCATCTTATGCGCACATGCCAAAAAAACGCTGATTAGCGTAACCCCTTTCGGGCTAAAATGTGCAATTCCTCTAGCTAGTATAAAATACGTTTTTAGTTCAAAAGCTATAGCGTAGCCTAAGAAACTATTCATACATTCTGTGACTTCTAACACTGCCGGTTTTCACTAAAATTTGAACGAACAACAATATAGTAGCACCAATGCGTTATAATGACAAGATCCCATCAATTTTTAGTGAAACTGCTAAGGGTTTAAGTATAGAACCGCTACTCCTCTATCTTTCGGATCAATTGAAGAAGTTACACAAAAACATAAGAAAAGAATATCTCCTTAATTGCTTTTATACACAACTGATTAAACAACCAAAAATAATGTCGTTCAGCGGGAAGCACGTGATACCAACATAGAGAAAAATCAAACAAGACAAGAAAATTAATAATAAAAATGTTCAAAGTAGCGCTGTGCTAATGTCATAACGAAGAAGTTGAACTCAACACGAAAAATATAATACCAGAAAAAAACCAAGATTTTTACTGTAATTTTGCTACACCGCGGATTTCGAGTTATAAACTGATTAATCATCGGTGAAACACTAAAAAATCAAGCTGTCGAATCAGAAAAACGTCTTATTCCCTTTTCTAATGTTTGCATGCAGAATCTTAGCGCCCTCACATGTTCCACACAATTAGCCCATTCACTGGCCAATCATTTATCTCGACCGTGGTCCAAAAACAAAAAGAAAAAAGGTGTGGGACATGCATGTCCCACCTTTTTGGGAGTATTGCGTATACTGAATGATGGCAAATTATCAGGTACTTGTACGTTAATTTTGCGCGTGTTCTAGACGTTTTGTTTCTTCTGCTTGTTGTAAGCGAAATGAATTTTTTGTTGGTTGCGATTTCCCTCCTTGAAAAATTCATAAAAATAACTGTATATTATTTCTGAGAATTATTCTGGATAGTGTGTGGAAGGTCACTGTAATAAAAATCCTCAAAGAGCTAGAAAATAAGTCTTCTGTCAGTATTGATCGGATACTCTATTAATCTTTAAAGCCTTTCTGTTAGATCATGGGATGCTAGTTAGACTATCTTTGCTTAAAAGAGGCAGCTTTTGAGGTAATAATAATGCGTGGAAAAAGGCCCTCGTTCCTTCGTTTTCCTTCTTTAACTATCGGTTGGTTTTCTTTCTCATGCTCTTAACGCGAGAAAAGCTTTGGAAAAACTGATTTATAAGGATGCCATCTAAATGCTTCATGCATTTTCCCAAGCGCCCAATTCACTTTTCAACCCAAATCTTGGGTCACCGATACCTTACCACGTATCACTCTGGAACTGGCAAAGCTACTTAGGAAGCGAAATGGAATTATTGATTTCGCTAAGGCCTTTGATCAAGGGGGAAATAGCGGACTCCTGGACTCCTGAAGTCGAGGAGTCCAAGAGCAAAAATCCCAAAAAAGAACAAAAATAATCATTTTTGGGAAGTGATTCCCAAAAAAGAACATTTTTGCTCATAGACTCTTGGACTTCAGGAGTTCAGGAGTCCGCTATTTCCCCCTTGCCTTTGATCGTGTTATAGTTAAATAAATTGAATCTGGCTGGTATGGTAGATCTGCTTTTCAATTGTTTTTTTTTAATCGTTGTGACCGTAAACAATATTAGATCTAGTATTGTAATACTAGATCTAATATTGGTTTACATTCAAAAACGTCAGAACGATTGAAAACTCCAGGATGTACAGTATTTAGCAATGATATTTATAAGAAAATCTAGAGAAAAGAATTATAAAACTTTATCCTTTGTAAAAAAAGACTTCTAGAAAAAGCTTATGAACACACCCATAATTTTTGATTTTTTGAAGGTATGTTGAACTTTAGCGGACATAATTAAACATGTTCTGGAGTTTTTAACTTGTTCTGACGTTTTTTGGGCTTATAATGAACTTTTTCGTATTAGGTGAAAACAGACTGAAAACCCCAATTTTCGTAAAAGTCGATTTTCACAGGCTTTTGCATTTGTTTTCAAAAACAAACATTGCAGAAAGATTCAGCGTTGTCGATTACCTATGTTCCATCAGATTTCAATGCTATTCTAAGTCATCAAGTACGAGTCCTGGTGCTCCAAGGAAAGCCTATACCAGCTAGATGCAGTGTTATAGCTAGGGCATATGGAAAAATCCGGTATTAAATTCACAAAAGATTCTGCCTGACTTCGTTAAATTTTCTATTCACATATATTGTAGAACATTTAAAGTGCAATTTTTCTATACCAAAGACGAGTTGGATCCTCTTTTGCTCATAGGAAAAAAGGACCGAAACGGTTATACAGTCTTCGACTGCAAATGCTAGTTGATCAAAAAACATTTTTTTCTCTATACTTAACTGGTTACTAAGGACGAGTCATATACCATTTCTTACAGTTTTTCATTTTCTATTTTTCTGTACTAATCTTTATCCCGTCTTTACTTGAGATTCTGAAAAAAATCATATTTTCGCAAACCTTAATGCATTTGACATACCGTCACAAAAATCACAATAAAAATTTTTCTATGAGATTCCTAAGGCTCGGCTATACTGAGAAATGCACAGAAGCATTTTCTCTACAAACTACGATTAAAAGTAACATGGAAACACTGGAGGGCAGATTTCGGTTAAATTTTGCCCTTGTCCTTTATCACATTTCAGCAGTCGTCAGAAGATGTGATAAACGTTGAGGACATTATACACTGATTTGGGGCACATTATCTCTTCGTTCACATATTCGTAAAACGTGTATTTCATCCTGATGGATTATTTATTTCTCTTGCTTACAATAGCAATTGCAGAACATATTTTTAGCTTCCTTCTTTCAATTCAACAGTTGGCAGTTCGTGCCATTCTAACAGATCACAATTCCTCAAGTGACGGTCTCATTTAAAAGATTAAATTTGTCTAATCTTTCTGGTAGAAGAAAGTAAACCACAACAGAAGGTCATGGTCTTCTATTCTGGATGAGGGGGTTACTTTCATTTAGCTCAATTACAAGAAGTCATAATTCCCCGTTGTAGTCTCTCTTAATTCAGTCTACTGAAACCATCAACATCTCGCTTTCAGAGAGACGATGTTGAATACGAAATACCAGCCAACATCAGTAGAGTTTTTACTTGTTAGTTTCTTGCCAAGATATATGTTGAATGGAACACACTATCTCGAACAGTAATAGCTCTTTTAAAATTAAATAGTTCAAACAAACATTTAGATTTGTGACAATTCCATATTCTTTTCTATGTAAAAGTGTTATTCATCTTTCTTGCAATATGCTATACTTATTTCTTGTTTCTATTTTCTGTTATTTCCAGGTGTTATACTGTAAACAGGGTTGCCAACTGTAAAATCCACAGTTCAGAAAAAATATCTGTTACAATTAGAGAAAGTCGGAAGGAAATGGTACTGAAAAGTGGAAGAACCATTTTTTTTCTCCAGAATAAAAGCTTAAATATAACAGTCTTTTTCTGAGAGAAACATATGTTCTTTTTTACAAGAGAAAATATGTATTCAATAACTACTACAGAAACACATAATATTTCAAGCGCTGACTGTTTCTTTTGTGATTTTTTCACTGTTTATATCTGAAAATATTTTAAAAAAACAGGGAACTGTAAAAAAAATTCAAACAAAAACATACTACATCTTATAAGAATACGAGTATTTCTTGTTTTATATTTATGTATATTTTATGGCCTGCGTACTGCTTTTAATAGATCTGGATTAGCTCGAATTAAATTATAAAACTGTTTACAATTAATATCGGCACTATTCAATATTTTTTCTGCTCGACTGATACAAGTTCTGGTGCCATTTTATTTCGTGTGTATGTCCACGCTTGTTTCATATGATTGAGATCGAGGTAACAGTCAGCTGAACCTTTTTACAACTATGTACTTTTCATAAAATCGGAAAATCAGAATTCATTTTGAAAATAACTTCAAAATTTGCACCATTTTTCACAGAATGAAGAGAGTTTGTTCATCAGTTGCTAAATCTTTTTGGAAATTCATTCGTTGTTTACGTTTTAGTTGTTCATTCGGCTGAGCGAAAGATGAACGGTAACAAGACTGACAAATATTCATATCATCTTTCCAATGTTTCGGAGACTAATCGTGAATGTAAATTACGAAAAAATCGAAATGACTGTTTACCACAAGCGTGAGTTGAGTTATTTTCTCTTTTGGTCTGTAATATTATCTATTTTTTTTTGTTGAGTAGCGCTGACAGTAGTTGGTGGAGGCTGCTGCGGTTTTTACAGCGCACATTACTACCACCACAAATGTTGACGACGGCAGAAGAACGCTTATATTACGGTAAAGTTTGTCAGAAGATGTTATCTTAGAGAAATATCACGAATTCTTTATTTCCCGCTATCAAGTGTATCTAATCTAATCTCAAAATGTCCAATCGCTTTGTCATTGAAATACACTTGATTATAGCTTTTACAGACGAAGATTTATAAAAGTGATTGGATAATTGTAAAGGTTCCTCATCAGGAAGAGATCTCTACTGACAGTATTAGAGGCATTACCTTTTCCATTACTAGCTGTAAACGATGTTGAATGAGATTTTATTTGAGCATACGTATATCTGTTTGCTCAGATTTCTTGTCTTAAGTAGAATTTTGATGAGCAAAGAGCATAAGTCAAAGAGTCAATTTTCATATTTGAACTTAATCTACTATTTCCATTCACGTAGGCTTAAGAAACACATATTTTGGTCAATATATACCTATCCGAGGAGGTAATTTTATTTGGACAGTCACTGGTAATAACAACGATAGTCTCACTAGTGTACCGATTGTTCTTGTTCATGATTTCGGTTGTGCAAGTGGTATTTGGATTCAGAATATGGATTTCTTTAGCTCTCAACATCCACTTTATATGTTCGATATTCTTGGTTGCGGTCGATCGTCTCGTCCATCGTTTAACGGTCTAAAACATATCAAAGCTGAAACAAAATTCGTCGAAGCAATTGAAGATTGGCGAGGTGAATTAAAACTGAACGAATTTTATCTCATTGGACATGGATTTGGAGCTTTTTTATCGACATTATACACAATAAAATATGGTCAATACATTAAAAAATTAATATTACTAGGTAAAGTAGACCTTTAAGCTTATATTATCATCAAATGCATAATACTATAATTGTTCTCATTTAGATCCCTGGGGATTCAATTCCAAACCAGAAGAAAGTCAGCTGGATTTAAGAACACCATGGTGGATTAAATTACTTGCTTTCATCACACAAACGTGGACACCGTTTTCAGCATTTAGATTTTTAGGACCCTTAGGTTACCTACGTTCTTGTATCGCATCCATACTAGTATGTTTTTTCATTCTATTTCATTTTAGGTTTACCGGCACTCAAACTTCTTGCACCACGTTGGAAACGTTTGGCACCTATATCGCAGTCTGGAGGCAAATCAGAAGAATTATATGAATATCTTTTTCATTGTAACATACAATCATCGAGGTAAGAGAAATGTTTTGATTAACGGTTATAATTTACTTTATTCGAATTAATATTTTTATATCGATGTTCTCAGTGGTGATGTTGGCTTTCAAGCAATGGCAGATTGGTATGGGTGGGCTAAAGCTCCAATACTCACACCAAACAATTCAAGACTAGATGCTATTTCAACGACAATACCCATTGCATTTGTTTTTGGTTCAAGAACGTGGGTTGACAACACTTCAGCGCATCAAATTAAAAAACAACGAAAAAATACAGACGTTAAGGTGAATAACTTGTAAAATCGATATTAAAAATGTTCTTCACGTACAGAAATGGAGTTTGTGCGTTATTTTTTTATTGATATAAATTCTTGCATGATTCATGGAATATAATAATTCTTTTATTTTAGACTATTTACAATGCTGCACATTTCTTTTTTTTGGAAAAATCTGAACAATTTCACCAATGTATGACGGAAATATTTAACGATACATCGTCATCAGTGACAACATCATATGATTGATTCAACTTCTCAGCACAGACGTTTTTTTATCAGGATCAGCTAATTTTATATAATTGCTGTATTGCGCTTTATACAGTTATTGTTGCTTGTTTGTCAGATACTTGTGTTAATGTTTGTTGCACAAAGAGTGTCGCTTTTCATTGGTTTTTGTTGAATTACTTTCAATCATTTTTCTATTTTTATTTTTTTTATAAATTATTTATATGTAACTTTTGTAATTTTTTTTATTTGCTAAATTGTTGAACAGTTACGAAAATATAAAATATAAAATGATAAAATAGTAACCATACTATTTTTTTATTTATACCATCTTCTATTGTATGAAATTGAACTAATTATTTATATCCCGGTGCTGAAAATGTTAATTATTTGCGAAATCGTATAGATTTGCTTTCAAAATGAGAACTACGAACAGAATTTTGACAACTAAAATCTCCTCTCACGCAATCTCTTCCCTGCATGCGGATCAAAAGAAACACAGGTTAAGTATTCCAAAAGTACATTGTGGCAATGGCTTGAAACTACTACAACAACTAAACACTATGCCTCCGAGCATTCGTATCAACATTCAGCATATTTTAATTCGAAATAAGTATCGGCGCGAATGATCGCTCATCCATAATTATAAAAGTATGGTTTCCTTGACCTTTTCTCTTTCGCTATATGTAACCCCCTTCTTCTGTAGCTTCTTTCTTTATTGTTCAATCCTTAATCTGCAATACTCAATGATGATTGGTTTTATAGTAAAGATGGCTAAGACAACTACAGAGAGATTTCTCAGTTCAGTTGTAGAAAAGAATGTTGTATTACTAAATAAGTAAAATTTATTGATCTCTAACTGTAATATGATATATACTAATTAGAAAAAATATGAGACATGAAAAAATCTGTTTAAAATTTGAGATTACACATGATACACCGTTAGCGTTAATGTCTTCATCAGTCAGAGGAGGATATATTGAAAACTTAATTGCATTCATTACAGCAAACCCAGAGGCGTTTTGAGACAGAGACACCTGAATACTTTGTCGCCCGGCTTTAAGGAGGTAATCACCAACATATATCCACCTTGAAAACGAGTTGAGTTGGTTATATTGAATTGTATCATCTGTATTATAGACATCTTGGAGTGTAATGTTAATTGAATCTGTTGTTCGTTCATATGACGGATTCCAGATATAGATAGCATATAATCCTTGTTTTTCTAATCGTGGCTGCCATATACAGTAGTTATCAGGATTTGACAATGCTATGAAAGAATTTCCAATAACATCTTTTGGTAGATTTGTCGTATGAACTGTGGTATTAGTTGTACACATATAATTATCTTGATCATCTGTTGTTTTAATAATATCGCTATTATCTAATTTTAAACGATCAAGCAGCATTTCAGCAAATCTTCCAAGGATATAAAAATCTGTTTTTGGTCGTTTATAACCATTGCTGAATGCTGCTAATATAATTTCTTGTTTATTAGGTAGGATCATATAAGCAATGTCTTCAACGGTATCATAGGCATTACCAGGTTTGTTGTGCAAGATTGTGGCTGCTGGTAATCCATTTCCAAAACTCGTTTGATCACTTTGCAATGTATGATACAATAGAGATTGAATGTACTGTTTTTCTTCTGCAGGTAATGCATAGATTAAATATAACATAAATGATGCTGAACAACAAGGCTGTAAACGATTACTGCCGTCATTGGAAATAATAAGTGCCTCGGCACCCACTGGACCTAAACCACTGTTAGTTGGGTAAGTTTTACTTAAAATTCGTTGATTTTCATATAAATTTAATTTTTCCAATAATGTTTTTGTTGACAATCGTTTTTCATACCATTCCGTCCACCGTGTATCATTCATCGCTACCATGTCATCAATATTTGTTGTGTTCGTTATTTTATCAATAACAAAACCGGTATCTAAATTAGAGCTAACCGTTACCATGGGCCGTACATATTTATCGAGGCAATAAATTGATTTCGACTTCGATTTACACCATTCTATGGCACTCCACATGTAAAACAATTTCACACATGAAGCTGGATAAGCAATCTCGGTGCCATTGACATTTCCACGGTGCCAAATATTATCTGGTTTTTTTACTAGTATAGTCGCAGCAAGACGATTAAATTCGCTCAGCGGTTGTTGCGATAAAAATTCATTGCGTACATCTGTTATGATTTTATCCAAATTGTCATCGTTATATATTTTTAAATTTGATACGTTATCTAAATTACAGTTACATGATTGACTACTAACATACACAAAAATAAAATAGTTTAAAATTATAGCAGAAATAATTAATTTTTCATACATATTGATCATGATAACTTTTACTTATGTCATGTATATGACAATATCAACAAATCCTTACATTTACTTTTTTCTTTTCTATTGACCTATTTGATAAGAATATTAAGTTGGCAAATAGTAGAAGCTAATAGTCGTAAAGAAGATGAGCAATATTTATAAATCATAAAAAGAAGCATTAGACAACAATAATTGATGTTTAATTATCGAGTGCTAACTTTAAAATTGAGTCTACTGATATCACTATATTGATAATCTGTCATTATTAGTGCACCTCTATTACAACCTTGGATATAGCTTTTGGAAATTTCAGAAATACTTTTGAAAGCTAATGGTTAAACTTTAAGGTTACGCCGTTCATCATGATCCTATTGTTTCTCTCATCACTGCTTTTTTATTCATTATGGAAATTACAGACACATTACTTCTTTAAAATAGTGGAACAGAGAAAGGCGAAGGGGTAACATATATTATTTTTTGGTTTTTCGTACCAGTGTTATCCGTTTTGCCGCTCCATTATCTGTACAATTCTAAAAGTAACAACATTAATTATCCGATTACCTTTACTTTAGATGTTTTCCTCATTTATGATAGCGAAAGGACATTTGAAAAAAGAAGATTTGAGCAGCTGAAAGAGTTTCGAATCACAAGAGCAGCGGATGTATGAGAACTCCACCAATATTAGTGAAAACAGAATTTATGAACAACTCAAATCTCTGAAGTTGATCGGAAGCTTTTTGCAAACAACTAGGCAAGCGAAATCGATGGAAAAACATCAGAAAACATGGCTTCGTAGTCTTCTATGAACTGAATGCAGTTTGATGAAACTATGTTGTGGAGATATATATGCCCACTATGCCCACAAATGTTTACTCTATTTGATGAAGTTGTTTTCAAAAAGCTTCCGATCAACTTCAGAGATTTAAGTTGTGCATAGATTCTGCTTTCACCAATATTAATGGAGTGCTCATACATCCACTGCTCTTGTGATTCGAAACTCTCCCAGCTGCTTACCTCTGTTCAGTTAAGTGTTAACGCTTAAACTTGATTAAACTTGGTCAGAATATGTTCATCCGTATGTAATACATCGCTGATGATCGTACAAAATAGTGCAGATTTATTTTAGATGGGATATGCGCTTTTCAGGAAGCCTTGGATTTACACGTAATTTTACCTTTTTCACCTTGTAGTACTTTTTTCATAAAATTGATCACATACTCAGAATCGAGCTACATCGAGGTGCATTGAACCATGTATGAAAACTTTTTAGAGAATAAATTTGAAATTAAAAATATTTCTGAAGTAATTTTGACCGAAAATTTTTTTCGAAGTGGATTTTTCATGTTGAAATACACATTTTCGACTATGCAGAATCATAGTTGACCGAAAAAGTGCTTTTTTTGTGACAAAAAAAATCAGATGTCCACCTAACATAGTAACAATGCCTACTGTGACCCGCCCATTCTGATTCGAAACTCATTCAGTTGTCCAAATGATTGTTTAAACTTCTTTTAGGCGAGGAAAAAATCAAAAATAAGATAGAGCTACTTGAAACCATTCTTGCTGTGGAACTAGTTTACAGAGCCTATGATTAAGACAAACAGAGACAGCAGCTACTCATCAACAAAATTTTGCATATGGAGAGATCGCTATATTTCTAAATATTTTGCATAGCTCCACTTTGGATTCACAACAGAATTGATGTGGAAAATGTTGCTATTGTGTCAGATAACCGAATGAGGAGAGCAATAGGTTATTTAAAAGTTCCACATTGTTCAATCCTAATGTTTTCTATCATAAAAAATCAATTGTGCAGGAAATAATGGCCCACCATCATTGATCACAGAGATGTAGAATGCATTTCCTTCTTGAAAATTTCGTTGCTACTATTGTAGCCAAAATACAAAAGCAGTGGCTAGTTTTTGAATAACTCAGCATCAAATAAAGACAGAAACTTACAATTTTCACCATTCGGTAGCCAAGACTTGAGGCTATCTTTTCACAAGCAAAACTGATTTTCGGAAAAATTTTCGAAGCCGGTTTTCCAGTGGATCTTAAAAAAACTAGCTTGGAGTTTTCGAAATTAAAACAGGAATCTATTGATTTTCTGGAGTGGGCCTGTATAGTCCGACGTGTTCTCTACAAAACTGGATCTAAGCGACATCTGGAAAACCCATGGTTGGGAGCTATAGACGTTTTCCCGAAGCCTTAGCACTCCTCTCCTGTCAGGTTTGGGACTGTCAGAAATGAATGAAAACATAGGTTACTGACTATGTTGAATCTCCTAGCAATGTTAGTTTTCAGAACAAAATGCAACAATCAATCAAAAACCTATACTATATGAAATAACTCATTTTTGATTATGTTCATCAAAAATTAAAAAATTTATAACTCAACCCCATCCAGTCTACTTCAGAATGTCAGGAAATGCTCTAATTTATCTGCAGCATACTGTAAAGCTCAATAAATGTTGAAAAAACGAGCAGAAAAAACTTTGGTTTCTAGAAAGGGTTCTCAGAAACCTTCGGAACTAAAAGAATATTTTTTATCGATTTTACGTACAGAATCCGAATGAGTCTCAAGTCTTGGCTAGCGAATGGTGTCATCAAAATGTTAATTTTTACGCCTACTGAAAAAGACAAACCATTTTAAGTTTTGTTCATTTTAGTCCATTATTTAGTAGAAAACTAGTTTTGGGGGTTTTTAAAGTGTTTCTGCTCCCTCAAAAAACCTCAGCGTACGGAAAAGAGAAGAAAAGTCCGTCTGGCGGGCTGTGGAAGGGTTCCAAAATTCTGAAAACTAGTTTTGTATAGGTTTCTCGATGTGCTCTACAATCGAGACAGATCAGAAAAAAGTTTTGAAACAAAAAGTTTCTGGCTCTGGAAACCTGGTTTCCCAGAAATCCGGTACTTGCAAGGCCGCAAGTGGGAATTCGCACACCTATACTCGTCAGATAATACTAGAGAATTCGCAATCGATTCTGAGTTGAGCTAGTGAGAGAAGAAAATAAGCATTGTAAGTCTATAGTCAGTATGAAGACATGTTGTATAGCGAAATAGTAAAGAATAACTCAGTTCGCCGCGAATGCGAATTTTTCATGATCCCCATGCTCGTTGCATTCGTCGTAGTCGATAATCCCAAGAAAAGTGTCAGTAAATTCTTCTGTAAATCAGTTATTTACCAGGAAATGTGTTTTATAGTGTCAAAACGTATTCTAACTTTTCTTCGAAATCGAATTTTTGTCATCTTGATCTTGAAACTTCTCACACTCAGTTTTCATTTGATGTTTTCATATTTTTATAGCAGTGAAATTAATTTTCAGTGATTCTCAGTGATCCTCTGTGATTTCCAACAACTTCCAGTCATTTCCGGTGACTTTTCATTTGGTAAAAAGCAGTGAAAATCGGAAAAGTCCAAAAATCAGCTGTTTTCCCCTTACGATTTAATCACCTCTAATATCTGCAAATACGACATATCCCAATAGATAATACTCAATAACTCTGAGCCGCATCATTTATTAAAACTTTAAACACATCATCAGAAAATAAATTGCCTATATAATTAGCTTGTGCGATACAATAACAATTGCCTACGATCAAATTGTTGACTTCACTCACATGTATTCATCCCCATTTAAATATTGTGCTCGTAACCTCATCGGATTCTCTATAGTATTTTTTAGATACAGGATATTTTAAAAACACTTTTTGCATTAGCTCAGCAGCAACACGACATTCTTTTATTGAACTGCAGTTACGTAGATAATGACGCCGAATTAGATCTACTTCTTCTAATACTAAATTGAATAGAAGAAACAGTTTAGCATAATAGGAAAAAACCGTGGTGAAACTTACTATACCTTCCTTCCATCCGGGCTCGTTCGGCACGGTCCATTCATGACCATGTATGACGAATTTTTGAAAGGCTGGACGGCAAAAAACAGAACAGAATAGAGTATAAGAAAGTAATATGACAAAGATAATCAATCGCATCACACAATCCTAAATGAGACGAAAGTATATCATAGTGTTAGTCACTCAATAATGCATGACTTGAAGACGTTCTTCCGTAAAATTACCGAAACCGGTAAGGGTACATTTTAGAAAAAAAATTTCATCTTTGACACAAACATAGTGCATGATAGAGTGCCATCTCCACTACAAAATAAGACTACTCCTATATTTCCACAATCTGCCACTGGGGTGATACGAACTTTTTGAAGTTTGCCATTTTACAGCAAAAAAGCTCTATTTTTTAACTTGTGAAAATCCTTTTTCTTTATATCAGCACGTTAGTCAGTCTTGTGAAGTGAAGAGTTCTGAACAATACGAGGTGTCACTCAACTCTACACCATATTTTCTGATAGAGTTATGATCATTTTTCTGAAAGCCCTCAAAAAAGTGAGTCTCATGTTGTAACATTTTCTGATTATAAACATATTTTTTGCTAGTGCACCCAGTTGGTCTTGCTTTCTGCCTCCCATCCCTGAAAGAGCGGAGGCGCATATGAGCGAGAATCGGCCCACTCGAATTTTTTCATTTCCAATGACCGAATTTATTAGAAAAGTCACGTTTTTATTATTCTCCGTCGTTCCCGAGGGAAAAAAGTAAATAAAATGGGTGAAAAAAATTTCTTTTCCATCATCATTATCTTGCTATCCCACCCAACTAGTAATTTAATTACTTCTCTTGACTAAAAGAGTAGATAAGATTCATTCCACTACTGCTAGATAGAAGATGAAAAACTGAATTGAAAGACATTCAAATGGTATCTTCGCTGCTATTTGTTAAAAAATGGCAGCGAAGAAAAACAAACTGGGTAACTACTTATCTAGTAAAGTTACCATCTTGAGTTAAAATGTGGGTCCGCTCTTAATAGTTAGATCTTTCATAATGCAATTAAGACCAGCTGTGTAAGATGCAAGGCCTGACTCTTTTGAATGCATCCGTATTTACTTACGGCATACCAAAAGTAATGACGCCATCACTTTATTTTCTTATAGAAACCTTGAAGAAATTTTCTTTTTTTATGCAGTTATAGACAAAACGATGCTCTATTTTTCTATGCTATTTTATCACTATTCACCTAATGTCATAATTATAAAATTTCGATAAGACCTGTTGCTTTCGCATGTGTGATGATAACATGAATGCTCGTGAGTATTTTTTGAATAACTCTTCATAGAAACAAGATAGAGAACTGGATTTTTTACGATTGGAAAGAGGAGATGAAGATGCATCGAATCGTATATTAAGATTTTTCTAGTATGATTTTCGAAGTTTTTTTTTATTCAATTTTCTAACCGTCTGAAAAATGCATTTTTAATGAAAAAAAGCAAAAAGCAAAAAATTTGCTAGAAAATCGTATTAGAGGTTCGACTAGGATACATATTATCCTTAAATAATTAAATTCAAACACCTCAGTCTTTCACAGTCTCAGCAGATCTTTGAGCAGCGGTTGGAATGTGAACCTGATTATTGAAAATCCACTGTCAACAACCCACGAGAAAGGTTTGTTCTTTAAAAGGTCAACTGAAAACCTTACAAAAAACAGGTTAAAAAATCTGTAATATACGGTTCGTTGCGTCTTCTTCTCCTCTTTTCAGTGGTCAAAACTGCAGCACTCTACCATGTTTCTATCAAAACTTATTCAAAAAATATCAGCATTCATATAACCATGATATATCGTAAGAAACAGCTCTTTTTTTTTCTTTTGAAAATTTTATAGTTATGATATTAGTTGAATAGTAATGAAATAGCATAGAAAAATAGAGCATCGTTTTGTCTGTAATTGGTATGCCCTAAGTATTTAAAAAGGTAATCTTATTGGACAAACGTTTAATTAAAGAAAACTGCTCGCTTTCATCTAATCTCCAACTAACTATAACAAGTAAATGTATTTTTTTAAAAACTTTGTGGCGCATAATATCCCAACGAAAAATAACTCAAAACGACAAGTAAACATCTATGTGATTTGAAAAAAGAGGACAGACAAGTAAAGCTGTATATAACCTGACTAAGAAAAGTAAAACATCAGATAATGAATAACAAGTTTTCTCGATTGCTCCGTGTGCGATGTCCCTTTTCGACACGCACTGTTCTAGCGCGGGCGAAGGATAATTCACCTTCTCTGTATGCGCTTGTTACGTAAGAGGATATGATGAAACTGTGGCTCGATAGCTGGTTAAAGCATTGACACGGAATGGCATGCTCCTGGCTTCTATACTTCCAGTCGACTCATATTTTCTTTCGCTCAGTGCTAACATCATTTCCCGATTTAATAGAAATTGATTACAACAGCACTTTGTAAGCGCTTTGCGAAAGAAGCACTTTACAAGTACTTTACCAAGTACTATCAAAAGTAACGTAGGTACTTATCCAATCTTAAGATACTTCAGAATTTTCATAAGTACTGAAGCAAATACTTATGAAGTACTGATTTATAAAAATACTCTCCAAATACTTCACAAAGTACTTTTCC